ATCATAAACGTATTATTAACCTAATTACAATTAGCAAGTAACAAAAGTCTTTACTAACCAAACCACAAGGATAGAATCGGCTATTACAGCTATTACAGCGAAGCTAGCTTCAAAGGAAAAAAATACGTTGCATTTAAACTGATCACATTTAAACTGACCACAAGGAACCATAGACCAAAACATTTGATCATTATATGATGTAAACTTTTTATTAATGGGAGATTTTTAAAGTTCGAATTTAAACAAGTAAAAAAGAATAATCTCTTTAACTTAATAAATCAACTGCTTGTGAATTCTTTGCTATTTCATCAGAGTCGCCATCCGCTCTTGGCTTCTTTGCTATATGATCACAGTTGCCATCCGATTTCCTACTAAAAATCAAGAGGATTTACAACAAATGCGTAAAAGAGCAAATGTTAATTCGTTCTTGCTGTTTTGTGTAGCGTACTTGTTCGAAAATCTACTATGGCGATAGAAGCATACCGCGAGAAGAAAGCAGATCTAGAAGTGCTAATTCGTTCGATTACTTTTTTTTTCAAGTTTAGTAAGTTTGATCGGTTAGGTTATTCATGTCCGAAATGAACAGGAAAACATGTTCATGTCTCTTTCTCTGTTCTTTGTATCAATATGTGTAGAGTGAATTTGGTCTTTCGAATACCACCGATGACTTTGTTCAGACCAAGACCACTGAAAACTTGATGGTAAGCAACTCGATTAATATGTGTTTCTCTTTCTGTGTCAGAGGCAAACTTATATCGGTTAGATCCATGTTGATGTCTCGTTCTTTGTGTCAATTTGTGTAGAATGATTTCGATCCTGCTAACAATCGACATGATTTAGAACAAATGCGCAAAAAAAAATGTACTTCAAAGAGTAGAACAAGCTGTTAGAACTTCTCGCTACTACCGACTTTCCCCACTTGAAATTTATCAGCTTCTCTAATAAAGTCACAGCCGCCTAAAAAATTCAAAGAGTAGGATGATTAAAAAATATATTTTTTTGTTTGTATGAGATTTAGTAAAAGGGAATAAAAGGTTTACCCTTTTAGAAGATGTCCAACGTAGAAGAAAGTTTTTCCCTGTTTCAGAATAGCAGTTAACAGAATCTGACTCTTCCCCTGCAAACTTTTGATATACTGCTGTGCCCATATAATTCTTCACATCTTCCTTGGAAATTGACTGATCTTGAATCTCATGTAGAGTATAGTCATCCAATGTGGCTGTTTGAAAACAGAGTTATGTCCGTTGGAAAACAGCACAGCACCTCTCCTATAGTGCGATAACGAGGACGGTTTTCGAGATCTTCTATTCCTACAATAAAAATTCTACATTTGCTACATTTTGTTTGTTTAAAATTTAATTTAGAGTAAGAATTTTGTGTTAACATACCTTGAATGCTCAAGTTAGAAATTTTCATCTAAGTGTTTTGGTTCATTGAACTAGTTAGCTCGACAATGTTTAACAAATGCATCTAAGTCTATTAACGTGTGTACTTATGCAAATGCAACATAAACGAACCTGGATAAAGCGAAATAAAAAACAATAAAAAAATCATCATCGTCAACAAATGAAGTAAGTTTTTTTATTAAGTTTGTAAAAAAATCTAGAGATAGAATACTAACCCAAAAATGAATCACTGTAAAAATTATAAATTCAATGCTTTTATCTTGATTGAGCATGTGGTTGAAAGAGAAGCATATAGTC